GAAAAACAACTTTCGACAATCTACCCCCTGTTTCCAACTCCCTCTAATAATTATCTCACATACTATTACACATAGTAAATAGAGTTGGGCAGTTGATAACAACGTGGCCGTTATCTCTCTAGGGACCATATGCAATCAGAACGATCTGCTTATAGAAACATGGTATAAGCATGCATGCTGCTGTATGCACGCATCAAAACTGTAAAACGCGATACTGAAACTGCAGGCATTGCACGCAGCTGATGCAATATTATGTACAACGTTTTCTGCGTTGCTTCTCGGTTTTTATTATTATTATTATTATTATGTACAGAAGCGCAAGAATCCTGCTGGGATTCGCCGGTGAGATGGAACGAAGTATGAGCGACACACCCAGACTCGAGCCTAGACTACCTCATGTGTCCCTCACTTTGATTTAAAAATACGTTACCACTATAGTGTCGTAAGAGGATAGCTCTCCCGTTTGTCAAACTTCAACTCTAATGGCAACAACACCAACTGTAATTTATAGAATTGGGTCCCAACTCTGTTTTTTTTTTTTACTGAAAGACGTATATCTCATGACGCTATAGTTGTACGGAGGGCTGAATCGTTTAAGTTTCATGTGTTTTGGTCTTTTTGTCAAACGTCTTGTAGAATTCGTACTTAATTCGTGTGTCAAACAAACACAAAAAACTCGTTATGGATGGCATAAACAGGCCAATTCTGGCTTAGCTCACTAGTCGCGATTCAGAATTAAATCTTAACAATTGAAGCTATAACGCGATAATAAACAACATTGATATATCTATATAAATAAAGCCTGTAGTTTACACATATACCTTAGAACTTTGTTATGGATTGACACTCAGCACAATTGCCGTTTTCCTTTATGTACAATTCGTTCGTGGCTGTAGTTAATTTTTTTTGCCCCGTCGTGTGCTTCAGAGATTTTTAGCGGCTTGAATTGATTCCTATCGCATAATTCGATTGGTTTCGATAGAAGCAGTGTTTGAGAACAAAAAATAGATATAACGCACAAACGTAATTGTCAGTGGCAAATGTGTGAAAAAATCACCCAAAATTATCGTCCTCGGCTCAAAGCTTAAGTAAGTGTTAACGTTGCTAGGTAAAAAAAACAGTGCATAATCGTGCCTATCACTAATGTGCGGGAAAGGCTGGCTTTTGAAAATGAAAATAATGTGTCACTCTGCCAACGCACGCCCCGACCATGCGATGGATGGCTACTTTTGATCAATGGTAGTTGAGCTGTACGACGGATTTGCCCAGCGATAAGAGGTAGAGTCATAGCGCAATTCTATCTAGCGTCTCCGTTTCCAATTTAGGTTGAAAGGTTCTCGCGCAGGTCGTAACGCGACCGTAGCAGCGTCGACTGCGGATACGTGTAGGCGAGGGAGCAAGGCGAAAGGCACAACACCGACGACTAACAGGGTTTTTAGGACTAACTGTGATTAATGTGTGAGTCTACTCTGGGGGTGGTTGGAAACGCGTTGTTATCGTTCGGACACCCCTTGGCAAGCGCAACAATGCCAGACCGTCGACACGGATGTAGATTCTCACCCTTTATATACAGTACGGCTTGGGACTGTGGATATCGCAAAGGGGAAAAAGAAACTCGTTGAGTAAATTCGTGCGCTGAGCCATCGTCAACTCCAGTCTGAAGAGCCGGTCAACATGTTTTCAAGAGAAGGACTATAGATTCTCGCTCTGTACTCTTCGATGATAACAAGCAAATACCATACGTAGATAGCAATTAACTCAGGATAAAGAACCATAGCAAGTAGTTATCAGAATAGCAATATTTAGGCTGTTTGTTCCATTAACTAAAGTACGTTTTCGATATCTCGTTTTTGCTGTCGTTATGCAATTTCAGGCACCTTCAGCCCGCTGTCAACATCGGTTAGCTTGTAGAGAAGCAAAGCTGACTAAAAGGCAAAATAACAATATTATTTGGCCGACGCGTAAAATATAAGTTAACTATTCGAACGTCCCATCAATATTCTTGCTTATCTTCCAATATTACGATGTAAGAGCGACAAATAACTTCATTAATCAACGATACGGGAAAAAGGAGCTTACTAAAAATCCCGACTAACACACGTCACCTCTACATTTACCACACCTTATAAAAAAAAAAAAACAAACTATTCCATCATGCCAAAAAAAAATTATTCATAATCAAATAGATCGACTATTGACGAGGCAACGACTATTCTATTTCTCATTCGCTCTCGGTTATTGAGGAAAAAATCCTCTTGCGCTCTGCTCGGTCGGTCAGGCTTCCTATTCCTACAATTTGTCGAGAGCACTATTTGCAACGTCTATTATAGGGGTCAGTGAACGCCTACAAGGTGATTATATGTTTGCGGTTGAAAGTAAATGTTTCGACGAACTAGAGAGGTGAAGCTTAGTGCTGTGTGGTACGAGTACTGAAGAAGAAACGGGTTGTATTATAATCCTACGAAAGTGAACTATAACTTTTGAGAGTGCTTCATTCGCCTCCTTTGGACAGGATTGTGCGCTCCTACAGACAAGCGGAATCGCTAACGGACCACTACATGTATCGGATGCAATTAGACAGCTGAAGAACTTCCTGCCTCGTCCAAGTTTCGTAGTAAAATCTAACATAAAGCTCGTACATGCAGGGTGTGACCTGCCCAAAATCAGTAACGTACGTGTGTGCACCCACCAACACTAACTAATTTATCGATTCTTTACCAAAGAAGTTTGAGTATGTGGATTGCCGACAGTTAACTAATCGTCACTCCTCACGAACAACGAGAGAAATCGTAGGTATTGAGAGACACTTACAGACCTATGCTGACGCAAGCAAGACATGGCATACTAACCACGCGTGTTTAATCAGACCGAAGCAGGAAAACGCCAACGCGGAACCCACCCGCGGCCAATGGCCGATAGAATACCTATCCAGTCCTAATCAATTCCCAGATCTTTATCAACACATCAACAATATCCTCTGAAAAATTACACCCCGAATTCAATAACCGAAAATCTTGACTTTATCCATGGCACTGCTAAGCATCCAAGACTTACGCAGGGATCGTACCCACAAGGCCCAGTCATCAAAATATACTGGAACTAAGACCTCGTAACCCTTCTAAAAGCAATGGAACAAAATGGACAACACTCAATATCATCAAAATTAGCATTGTCCTGCACTGACCCGCGTGCAAAAAGTAACACACGATTGAATAATCTCATATATATATAAAGTCCATATGTATGACAATAGGCTAGAATCATAGCCAGACATGAGGGCACTTTAAGCCGAAAGGACCAACGGCTCTCTGAATGCGACTGTGGTACAAGACAAACGTTATCACCAACGAATGAGTTGTTCGGTGATTAGGAACTTACGACGTGATCAGAATAGTGGAACAACTATAAGACCCCTTTTCAAGCCCAAAATGCTGAAGTTCTATGTAGCGTATCAAAAATCTAGGCAGAGAACCTAGGGGTCACCGAGCTCATCCGTCAGACTCGCTCCCTCAATTTCAATTTTTAGGTCTATACCATCCCGACCTAACTTCTCGTCGACTGTTCGTAAATTCATAGAAAATAATACGCGCCTCACGAAATTTGGTGAAGTGTCAATGTTACTCCTACCGTTATCACAATTGGCTATTCGACGTGTTCTGAGGTGCTACTCGTTAGCAAAGTTTGTGGTAGCTGGTTGGAACTAGTAAGTGGATCAGCTCCTATCAGCGTAGCACAGTAATAAAGCGCTCGATAAGAATGAGAAAGGGTACTAGTAGCAGTAACTCTGTAAATCGTGTTGAGCGTGCATAGCGCTTCTCTAATATAGGGCCTTCATCACACCCTGCATCAATAGCAACTTAATATCCACGGTTCGAAGTCTTAGAATTCAACGATGCCATGATTGTTATGCTTGCAAAAAGGGTAACACCTCATTGTCGTCACCTGGACCCCATATTATTATGATCTCGTCGTTGTTGGGTAAAATAACTGTGAAGCAACAAGAAAGACGATCGTAACGAACCGCGAGGATCCGACCACAGCACGAACTAGTGCTCCTTCCAAGTACTCCGCATCTAACGGCAAATCTCATTCCCAACATTTTTCCCAGAAAACATCTTACCCCAATATTTGACGGCTACTATGAGAGGCTAGTACCCATCTATCACAGCGGACGCTTACCAGGAAAACAATTGAACCCTGCAGGACAACTTAGAGTCGACCCTATTCCTTCAGTGAGAATAACAGAAAGAGCTTTTGAAATGTCAGCGATAGAACACTCTTCCGGCAACAAGTTGTCGCCACCTTCTAATTTATTATTACAGAAAAGTCAATTTTCCGTAAGGCCAACTCGCCAGAATTCGCTGTGAAGAACGAAGGATGTACGCGTTTTATCGAACGAATAACTCTTGGGACCCCTCTGGGAGCTGCTAGCCCAATTCAAGGTACAACAAAGCATCAAAATACGTGTACAGTGAATGCAATCACTGAAAGCATGTTCAAGCGCCTGTGAATCGCTTGTCTATTCCAAGGTCTAATGGCAATGCAGTGACGCGTATACAGGGGTCGAGTACTTTGCGAAATGTGATTTTACAGTGAGCTGAATATTTATAACTGAACCGTGGATTCCCTGGTTTCATCGCACGCGTTACCTCAGGCATGTCGACGATCTTTGTCAGCCGTTCTGTAGTTGCTGCGTTGCATTTTTAAAAACTTGCAACCAAGCTCCCCAAAGTCACCTGCCCCTTTATGAGTTGCAAAACACTTGGCCTTGATTGTATCTAAAGCTCTGAGGATCGCCTATGTTCGTATCGCCTAAGTACCAACTGAGGGCGTTAGACGCCTGATAGAAAAAGCTGTCGGTGATCTTTCTTTAGCATATTGGAGCTCCACACAATCCCTTAGATACGCCGGACAGTACTACAAATGACGGAACAGAAATATCACAGTGGTGAGGTCGGTCGCCGCGGGCGACAATACGGCCGTCACTTACCGTTGTGAGCACGAAGGCGTTGCCGTATGGAGTGAACGCAGTTCATAGTCTTTATCGGAGACAGCAGAGGGCATCCTGCTGCGTATATCGAGCGGCATACATAATATATCAGGAGATCGGGGATTTTGAGGGGAACGAACGACATTCGACGCTGCCGTGAGTACCACTAAAAGGCGTGCGCGCACAGGCAGTTCTTGCTTCAGCCACTGCTGCTGGTGAAATATTTAGTCGTTTCGTCCCCACCTTGGTCCAACGCGAGACGAGGGGAAGTTAGCCTAGGCAACTAGGGACGGGGTCTCGCGTTCGGTTTGTATCTATAGATTTGTGAGATCGGTTGGGGCCTGTTACGGTGGTGGTCATGGACGATCTGTTTGGGCGCTCCGAAGAAGGCCGCTCTTCGTCGGGCAGCAGCGGCCCGGCAGGTCACAGCGAGCCGTGGCCTTTAGCCGACGAGGACGCCATCACTGATCCAATCCGGCTGCTGCAGCAGCTTGAGATCCAAGTGGCGAAACAGCACCACGATCACCATTCACAGCAGCAGCATCCTCGTCACAGGTATCATCGGAGCGGGGAGCGAGACGTCATTGTCTCCTTTGACGATGACGTTATTGTACGACAGCGCCATCCGATAGCCGCTAGTGGCGGAGCGGTGGGCGCATCGCATTCACTTTCGACGAACAGCGGAAGCAGTAACTCGACCAAGGGTCACCAGCACGGCGGAGGGCAACACCATCGTGTACGTGGCCAACAGTATCACGAAGGACAGCATCGAAACCACGATGCCGGTTCGACCGACTCGGTTGTCAACGGCGGAGTCTCCTCAAGTAGCAGGCAAGCGTACATCGTGAACAGCGAATCCCCCAGTGAGGCCAGTAGTACTAACAGTATGTCCCCTACAGATGATCGTTCACCACTCATCAAAACAGGCACAACCTCAAAAAAAGGCTCTAAAGAGGCTAACGGAACAGTGAAACGTGCGGGGTCCAACGGTAAGAAGGACAAACAGGTTAAGGCCAGCGGCAAAACAGCCAATGTTACTGCCGGTGGCCATAAGTCCTCAGGTGGAAAAAAGAAAAATGGAAGTGGGGCGGGCGGTAAACGAAAGAACAGCCTCGGCGATACCGCGGAGCTGATGTCGCCTGTTCCCGAAGATGAGCGCGAGTCAACACCGCCCGGCGTCCACGATGGCCCCACGGAGATTGTGATTGAGCCACGCGATAGGGGGGAATCAGTGTCTAGCTATCCTGCCGGGCCTGGCCACACGAGCGCCAATACTGGCACTAGTGGCAATGGAAACGCGACAAAAAGCGGGGGACTATCGGTGTTTTCCCGGGTTAAGGATGCGGCTATGAAAAAGGTGGGTCCTTCTAGCCTCCAGCAGACCGTCATCAGCGCCAGCGCCAAACAACTCGACGCTAGTGGTAGCAATAATAGTTCTAGTGGCAACTCGGCGCTGTCCACCAGTGGCACAATGGGCGGCACGGGTTCTTCCAGGGCCTCCACGGGCCCCGGCCTGATGCCGCCCCAACCCGGCTCCTCAAACTATCCAGCAGATAATCCTGTTTTACAGGTAAGTCTCTATAACTGAAACACATAAGATTTCAGCAAAAGTAAACATCTGTTGTTTTTCGATGAACAATATGTTAATAATGGGTTCACGTGGATGATGAGAAGCAATGGTGCCGACATCTCAACGTATTTCCAAATTTAGAAACACTAAGGTTAAACTAAAGAATGTGCTTTTAACTTACGTACATAACTTCACTGAGAAATCGGATGTGTATCGCGTCATTCATTCAGCTACGACGAAACCACTACTTAGAGAACCCCCATGAGGACAAAAATTCGTCGGCATGGGACTTATTCATACACTTTTAACAGAGGATCAGTGATTTCAAACAGAAAGGCTGATTGATATTCTTTCGTATTTTTGACTATAAAAAATAACGTATAGCACAATAGGCAAAACAGTATCAAGATGTTTTTTAACCAAAACCGGCTGTATATTACCTGATCATGCAACAAGCCAAGGCGGCTTAGAGATATAGCGTATAAATAATACGTCGTATTGCATCGAAAAATATCTATGTAAATGACAGATTCTTAAACTATCAAGAGATTTCCGCCGCACCCTATATGCATATGGAGATTCGCAATTAGAAAGAGTCAAAGTAGGCACTGCAAATAAGCGTTTATTCGCCACATATTCCATATACGTTTTTTTATAAATTCATTATAGTAGTAAACGATAGTCTCGACAGAAGGTACGTCAAGCACTGTTGAGGAGTTCGGCAGAGTCCCACTGAACTTTAAAGGAATGACACATAAGGACGATCAAGCTCAACTGAGATGAGCAATGCCTCGACTTTGTGTAACTCTGCGGGGCGCATTTTTAGGCTTCACAGATTATCGTTGTCTTTATGGAGACCTTCTGAGATTGTGGGGGCGAACGTTAATTATGAGTAGCCCCACAGCCAGATAACAAAAATAAGGTACGACTTCGATGTCAGCCCTCCGGCAACGAGGATGTCGTTATTGAAAATTTCATTGCTTTCGTTTTTACGACATCGACCACTAGGTCTTACCATGTTCGTAAGTCTGCGAAGCGCTTAATGACTGTCAAATGGGGGGGATGGGGGAGGGGGGTGATAATGCCTCCCTGAGCTAGACTATGCCTCTCGCCTAAAGTATCAGTTCGCGTTCCCTTAAGACTTACAAGCGTTTTTCCAAGATGGATAACCCCCTATTGAGTGGACGCTTAGAGCTGTTTTTTCTGTCTTAATTTACGTGATGCGGTTTGGAATCAATAAGCGCTACATACAAAGGAAAGTCGTTTTGTAACGCACAAGACTATAGATACTGTTCAACAGAATTGTACAGGCAATCACCGTTGACCCTTCCTTACGAAAGTCGTGCCACTCCTCTCACAGAAGATTAGTAACACGGAAAGATCTCAAGGGGGTACATGAGTATGTTGGCGAGCGACTTATAAATCGATTTTTCTTTTTCACGCAGTGGCATGCTACGCCGAGCTTAGACACCGATTATTTTTTCCCTTAGAAATTACATTAACCAGAACTCGTCTCCACCTCGACGGCAAAGTACCACTTGATCTATTTCCTATCTAAGGATTATATTATAGATTGAGCCTAGAGTAGATCGTTAGATATAGACATTTTTTATATGCGAAGATGCCTTCACAATTCCGCGTATGTTTAAGCATGTCTATCTCTTTTAGCGAGTGCCTTTAATTGTATTCTGCTAATACAATTAATAATTCCAATACAATAAATAATAAATTAATTAATAATACAATTAATTAATACAGTTAAGTGGTTGCCGTTAACTGGAATTGCCGCTTACGGGAAGTTCGTCAGAGTCTGATTGCTTGCCTTAATGATGCCTGTCCGAACAACACTCAGGGAATTTTGCGTCTCGAATATAGTAGATTTACCCATCATGACAGAATTCCGACAGAGCACTGATTACGTTTCTGGCCATTGGTACCTTTAATAAATTTATAGGATCACTTGTGGGCAATCCAAAATTTACGACGTTCTTCTTTCACTAAGATCGGATTCTAGCAAAAGTTCAGAACTCCCAGGATATTTCGACTTCTATTAATAATATTCTCCCTATTATCGATCTAATCAATGAAGTAAGCAATTGAAAATTTGGACCAAGCACAAATTGTGATTAAGTTAATTTTTTGATAACTTCAGTTGGCAGTCGATTGTGAATCAACTTTCATTAGGCACGGCACGCACGAGGTAAATCTCTTCCACCCTATATATGTCGTTGCTTTTGCAATATACAAACATAGTTTTGTAGCGCTATCGTCTCGCATATGCGCTGGTAGGTAAGGCTCCAGGCGCAAGGTTCCGTATCAGCTTTTGTTTGAGCCAAAGTAAACTTTGAAAGTTGTGGCAAGTTAACAATTGAAGGGCCATAGCAGGGATTTTCGTGCTTTGTAGAAAAACGCTATTCAAATATAGCTTAGATCAGAGTAAATGATGACGATCAGTTAGTTAGCCAAATTGAGTCGAAACGTTTTTGAAGTTGGTCAAAATTCGGCAGATTTTCTTTAGTAGCAGTAGTATCATAAAGCAAAGGGTGAGCGAGCAAACAGTTTACCCACATTGATGCATTCCATGAGAAAAGGACGCACTCTATCGTGCTTAGGCATAACAGATATTAACGTTAAATTGCGCGTTTACCGTCTCCATTAATGACACCTACGTCTTTTATTTCGTGTAAGATGGAACGAGCGGATGAGGCAAGGTCCAAAAGACCAATAAAAATTCCCTTGCTAAACAATTCGTCTCGACCAGTGAAATATTGTTAAAATGAAACATTACAAATGTATATACTCCAAGCAGCTCTATAAAATCGCCAACGGTTGTTCTGTCACATGTGTTTAAGCTTCTAGAGCTTGTTTGCCCCTTGACTAACTGATTGGTCCTAACTAGGCCACAATCACTTGCGATGAACGACGTTAGCTGTCGAGCGAAACCTTCTCGGCATTTCCATCCCATTCATTTCCATAAATCCAACATTAAAATAGTGTACAGTGCTTTATATTGCTTTTTTTTTCAATAGACAATTTTTTAAAAGTTAAGTCATGCTTTGTATAGTATCGTTTGTGTAATAGTTCGGTTGCCTCTGAAAATGTCGATTCTTCTTAATTGAAGCAACAATTTTCGGAACTTCTACCAGAATCATCGACGCAGACATTTTGCTGAGCGCATTGATTTTACATTTACATACAGAGCTGCACCTTTTAGGGATCTTTCGGTGTTTCAACGCTGTTCTAATTCTACCCAGCTCTATTAATCTAGCGTACCAAAGCTACTATAAATAAAAAGGACAACTTATTATTCGATTGTTTTGTTGTTGTCCACGCTGACCCGGTAAACGTTTTAGGGGCACCTCAATCAAATGATTAAATCTCATCTAGAAAATGAGATACAATCCAAAAATCTTGTTGAAGATAACGATATATACTGCTGTCGGACTTCACGGCAGTACTATGAACAACGGCCGAGTGATATCTGTGTGATAGTACCCTAAATAGGTGGTTTAATCTACTTTGTCTGCTCGAAGACGAGTGGAGCGCTTTGGATACGCCTTCATGCTTGCATGGCTAATCAACACCCATTCCGATGCCCTTGTCTTGAACTTTGTATGGAACATCGCAGTGCGTCTGTGTATAATGGCGCTGGTATCAACAATAAAAAAGATCGCATCCCCCTTACAGGATGATGAGAAAATCGAAATATATGTAAAAGTCGAAACAGATTTGACGGTACCCTAGATCACAGTTCCTTTAGTGTCGATATCCAACGCTACCGACAGTGTCTGAACATCGTTATCATTTATCGTGGCTATCATTTAAACTGCATTTTAAGGGCCGCTCAATAAGCGAAAACTTCTTAATAAGAAGTGAACGGTAACTGGAGTTACTGAGCTTTCAGTACAGTTTAGCACATGTTAGAAGATATAGCATATCAGAGCGAAAATAAGAATATAGGTTCGATTGAAATCCTTGACGATGACACAAACTGCGACGAACTACTTGTGCTCTACATCCGATTGGGAACCCGAAGGGACCGATCTAATAATGGTAAAACGTTTAATCTGAAAAAATTATCTCGCGCACTGAAAAACCCAAATACCAAAGAGATCCCCCTTAGAATGACCGCTCTTATGCCCTTTTGGGTGTTTCAGTTACATGAAATCGTAATTGGAACTCGCACCACAGGTCGGCAGCAATGGATCGAAGCTTAAAGACCAAAATGGTCTAATTCACAACTTTGTAAAGCTACCTATACCATAACATTCCGAAGATAGAGTACGCAATCCATGTCAGGCCAGACCATGCTAATTTTCATTGCGAGCCCTTAGCAGTACGTGATTTTAACACACCCTTACGCTTGTGTCCAGTAGTAAAACCTTTAACCAAGCTAAATGCATGCAAAATATTGGATTATTCAATGGGTACGATTACTTGAGTATGCGATCCAATGGTAATACCAAAAGCTTTTTCTTTCAAATGTTTCCTCTTGAATTTATCGAAGGAATCACCTTCAGGCCAATCAGCTCTTGTCATCAAAAAATTACGCGACGTTACCTTTCTAAATAGTTTACAAGTCTATATCGGTAATATATATATAATATACGGCTATTTTTTGACTGTAGTTCAGATACGACGTTACGACGACAGGTTTGAATCACTCAAGTCCAGCTACGGTGGATCTAGCTTTTCTATAGGCAAATTATGCGTGGACCAACAATAACCTGACGGCCAATACGATATGGCTCATCATAGAGATGGTTGGAGAATCGAACATATTTTTAGATCTCTCTCTCTCTCTCTCTCTCTCTCTCTCTCTCTCTCTCTCTGTAATAAGCGGAACAATATCTAGCTCAAATGGAAGTAGATTTAATCACCAAGGTATTCAACCATGGACACTGGAGGATATTATTCCTTCGGAATTGATACTGCCGTACGACAGGCATAATTTCGAATGCAAACTATCTGAACACATCTATCAAAAAGTAGAACAAACA